ACTCTGAAAAAATATATCAAAACGAATCTCTTTAGAAAACTCTGAAAAAATATATCAAATGAATTTCATTCTAAGGAAATAAATTCTGTAATTATAATGTAACGATAAGGGCTTGGCCTAAGATTTCTTTTTCATTGTATTTACTTCATAGTTTTAGTTTAGTTTAGAGGATGGGACAGCCGAGATATACCCTTGTTGTCCGTAAATATTATGTTACGTTATCAAAATCAGACCTTGTCAACTGTGGAAGTTAATTTTATTGTATTTCGAATTAATTATTCAGTTCATTATGTTACTCACTAGATATTAAATGCTTACAATATAAAGAGTACACTGCAAGTAATGATTTTTTAAATGACCATCTTAATTTTGGATTAGAAAACATTTATAACATTTTTCATTTCTCCTGTAATTCTATAAATTCTTAATAGCTTTAAATTATTTCTTAAAAGAGATTTTTAAATCAAAATTTTACAGAAACAATTCTCAGAAGTTTTCAAAATTCACAACTTTCTAATCAAAGATATCCTATTCATAAAAATTACAAATACTTTGATCGCATCTGTGATCTTTGAATGATAACATTTTGGAATAAGACCTTATGTTTTAGTATATAATGTCAAGAAAAACATCTTTAGAAACAAAATATAAATAAAATCCATAAATATATTTAGAAATTGTAAATAAATAAAATTCATATACCTTAGAAATGAAAGTAATCTTAGAAAAAGTACACTGTTGTTCAGTTAATTTATTTTAAAACATTTTATATACTTATGCAAAACAAATCTGAAGGAAGATTTATTATAAAACACTTTTGACTTACCCACTAAGAACACCTAAAACAAGATTGAGCACAAAAAATGATCCTATGATGACCAAACTGACAAAATAAATCCAGGGCCACTCGTTCCCCATGGAGTCATTAATCTGAAAATTGTGAATGGAACATTAAGGGTACTGGTAGTGTATGTGATATTGATTACTTCAAAGTTCTGATTATACTTTATTAAATCAGGGGTATACAAAAGGAGAGGGAGCAAACAGGGTCTCCCAATAACTTTTTGCACACGGACTCAGTCATATGGTAAGTTAAATGCTGGTTATTTATATTTGTATGATGTATGTGCAGGCATGCAACTATTTCAAGCCAAATAATGCTTAATGCATAAGAAAGTAAACTATGAATAAAATGTTAAATACCATAAGCAGCTGTGCGATAACTATATAAGCATAATTTTTTTACATCACAAAAATATAGGGTTCGGCCAAACCCCCTTGAACCTCCCCTGCGTGCGTGCATAACATGGAAACATTAGATCTTAGAAGGTAGATCAAACAAGAAAAAAATATACTTGCTGAAACACTATCTTAATATGAAGCTTTATATTAAGATTGTAATAGTTCTTGAAATGAATTATTTACATGTAACATGAAAGAAATCCAGTAAAACAATGCTGATGAACTGTTAACTAGAAACACATATAACAATGATAAAAGATAATTATTGTTAAATCTCGTTTTTTAGGAAAGAATAAACAAACAAACAAATGGCATACATCATATAAAACACTTGTCCAACCCTCAGTGGTCACACATTGGAATACTGTAAGCATGGCAAGACCAAAATTATCAAAATTTGTTATGCCAGAGTTAGGTCCTTCCCAGAATTCTTTACATGTGAGATTTTGGAAAGCATCACAATGGTAGCCATTTGACCCTTCTGAACAAGGATGTGGGTTTTCAAAGGCAATCTCTCCTGTAATAAGAACAAAAATAGATAGATTCACATTGGATTATTTATTTGCTATACAAAAAAAACATTTAAAAAACACAGAGAACAAATTTAACCAGATAGTCAAATACTATATAGAAGAAAATAGATAAGGTTCATATATCTAAATAAACACTAATATACTTCAAATAAAACTGATTATTCCCAGCACAATTATATAGGTCTGCTGAATAAAGGATATGAGAATATATCCTTCAAAGAGTACTACTAAGTTTCTCAGAATACCTGAATTTCAAGTGAGCAAAAGAAAGACTGAACGTAATGTGCAATGCTTATTATAACCAAAAACAGGGTGTACACATGCTTAGGTGATTGACAGCTAGTTTTACTGAACTGGAACTGTTATCTATTTTAACTGACTACTTTAAGATTGTTCACTGCACTTTTTAAATTGAACATTGTCTACTTCACAGGTAACATCAGATTTACCCAGAGTAACTAGCACTACCCACGTGATTGATTATTCTCTTTCAAACACAGGGAAGGCCAAAACCTTCAGGTACCACCTGATCTACCAATGAAGGACCCTATTGTAAACATTATTGCACAACATGATTCGTTACAGCAATTCCTACCATGGGTAGAACAGATTGAATAGAATGACAAATAAATAAAGACAGCTAAAACAAAAGAAACTTAACAACTTTCTTGACCATGTGTTATCTGAAAACTGCACATACTTTGAATGACTAATAAATTTAGAATAACACAATACTTATACAAGAAGGTAGAAAATGCATGGTAAGTTTATATACCAGAATATCACAGCATGAGAATTTCTCCTCTGTTCTTTATTATTCAATCATGGTTTACTCATTTAATAACAAAAACAAAATAAGTTTACAAATTTTTTCAGTTTTTTCCAGCTTTTACAAATACTATAACCTTCATATATTTCATAGTACTAACTGAAATTTCAGCTCCCCTTCCTAAATATTTTTGTAATATAATAACAGAATATGATAAAACAAAAACATATATCCAAGCTTAGGTAACTATACCTTTTTTCAGTTATTTCTAATAAAGATTTAATAAAGTCCTAGACACTGAAAACTAAAGATGATTATATAGTTTCCAGAACTATCAGGTAAATGATTTAACATTATACATTTTGACTGAATGATAGTTTACTTCAAAATCTGTTGTAAAATATTTGGTTTATCTTTCCGATCTTCTTAGTCAATAACGTTCATCATGTGAAGAGGCATAACTACAAAAGATGTCCCCCCCTCCCAAACACATAAAAAAGTAATTGGACTCCCTACATTTATTTCACTATAATTGTAGTTATGATTCTGGTTGATTCGGATCCCCTTTTGGCTCCCCCCCCCCAATAATTCCGAGGGCATACTTACGCCACTAATCATGTGAATGTATGACAGGATGCAAAGTATAATCTATATAATTTCTAAAACAAATGTTAAGAAACAGCTCATATTGATAATTCATAAATTGCAATGTAGCTATAACAAGTTACTTTGTTAAAGAAAGGAGTATCTTCATATAGGTATCAAAATAGTAGTGTTACGACAGCAGAAATCATGTGACGCTGGTTTTCAGGAATGATCGGGGAAGTCCGAGTGTGATTGAGATGCTCTCTTTGTTAGTATATGAGCCTGGCAGTGAAAGCCAGCAGATATATGTTAATGAACAGAGAGCAGTAGTTACTTTGAGTTCTGTGTAATTTATGAATCTGTTAGTTTTGAGCTAGTGAGCCGTAAAGTGTGTGTTTTGTACTCGTTGAGAGCGAAGTTATCGAGATTGTGAATTGTGTGTATTATAAAAGTTGTTAAGTTTAAAGTGACGAGAAACATACTGATTGTGGAACTTCTGTGTACTAAAAGTTTGTTTCGATGAAGAATAAAATGGTTTAATCAAGAAAGGACTTGTATCGCTGAAGATCCTCGAAACGAATTTCTACCAGAAACAAACAAACAAGCAGATACGTAACAAACTGGTGTCAGGTGTGGGATGGAAAAGAAAAAAAAAAGATGGAAACAAGAAGTGGCAAATCAAACTATGACTTGGAAGATTTGATGGTAGCAATACAAGAACAACAAATGAAACAGGAAGAACGAAAAAATATACAAGAAAAGAGACTACAGCAGTGGTTGGAGGAGAAAGAAAAGAAACAAGAAGAGAGACTACAGCAGTTGTTGTAGGAAAAAGAAAAGAAACAAGAAGAGAGATTACAACAGTTGTTGGAGGAAAAAGAAAGAAAAAGAGAGAGACTACATCAGTAGTTTGAGAAGAAAGAAAAGAAACAAGAAGAGAGACTACAGCAGTTGTTGTAGGAAAAAGAAAAGAAACAAGAAGAGAGATTACAACAGTTGTTGGAGGAAAAAGAAAAGAAAAAAGAAGAGAGACTACATCAGTAGTTTGAGAAGAAAGAAAAGAAACAAGAAGAGAGACTACAGCAGTTGTTGTAGGAAA